ATATATATATATATATATATATATATATATATATATATATATATATATATATATATATATATATATATATATATATATATATATATAAACATATTATTATAATCATCATATGATTTAATGGATTCATATTCCATTTTTCAACATACAAAATAAGACATGATTCATAATCATATAAAACATGCAATCACACAAAATAGATATGGTTTCGTAAGCGACTCTAATACCACTTAAGGAATTTTGTGTAAATGTAAAGAATAAAATACAAAAAAAAATCACGTTCGATGGATTCTGAAGAATGGTTATGAGTCATAGATCAATGGATTACCTCTTGTAGTGCATAAATTTTATCGTCGAAATTGATTGATCACAAGCACATCACGAATGACAAAGACTTTATTCAATCTATATAACCGAATCTGCAACGAATGATTCATCTTCCTACAATGCTAGTTGTGAATGAATGGAGGGTTAGATAGAACATGAACTCAAAATCATACTGCAGATAGGATTTTGAGGATATGTGATTGAGTGATTGTTACTTTAGGATAATGGTTCTATTTATATAACCACTTATAATAGGTTAAATATTCAAAGAGGGGTTAGTAAAACAAACAATCGACATTAGAAGATATAATAAACTCAACTATATTTTATGTCACTATAATGTCCTCTTGACATGTTTGGGAGAACAAGATGAGAGTTGCACAAAGAATAACAAAAAATTAATCTCAGTCTCAATCTCAAACTCAAACTCAATAACAAGAATTAAACAACAACATATAGCTTTTAAAACCTTGTTATGTATAACAACTAAACAACAAGAACAATAAACAAACATCAACAATAAACCTATAACATCAAACTCAATAAACCTATAACATCAAATTCAATAAACAAAAACAAAAACAACAACATATAACACACTACTACGAAATAGAACTTTCGTAACAATCATTTTACAACGATCTTCCTATTAACCGTGGTAATTATTTTTTTGGACGCTTTTTTTGTTGGTATTTTTATACAACGGTCATAGGTATCAACTGTGGTGAAATGTGGCGTCTGGTCATGTGTTTGAATCCTAGCACCCACAATTTTGTTTTTTATTTATTTTTAAGTCACTTTTCACCATGGTTGGAACTTTCAATCATGGTGAAAAGTGGCACCTGGTCAGGAGTTTGAATCCTAGCACCTACAATTTTATTTTTATTTATTATTAAAAGGCACACAATAAGGTTGTTTAAAGTAAACATTGTGATAGTTTGAGACATATAACAACAATTGTTTGAAGTAACCATTGTGATATGTTGGAACCTACAATTTTGTTTTTATTTATTTTTAAGCCACTTTTCACCATAGTTGGAACTTACAACCATGGTGAAAAGTCACTCAGGGCCATGGGAAAATATAAGCGTGTTTATTGAGTTTCTTCATCGTTCTTAAACAAATCTTTGTCGTCCATTTAGTGAGTATCAACGTTCAAGACACTACCATTAGTGATCCGCATGAAACCTAAAATTTGATGAACTTTCAACTTAGACGAATTTCATATTCTACCTCCAAACATCTTCTTCCACTTACGATACTCTAATCCTCCACTAAGTCAAGCTCGAAAAAACTATTTCTTCCATAAACAAAACTCGAAAATATCATTTCTTTCATTAAAAAATTTCAGAACTCCAAAACTTGAATGAGACAAGGAAAACCTGGATTCAAGTTAGAAATGTTAGTTGTTATTGTTATCGGTGTTGTTCTTGTTGTTCTTTTTTTGTTGTTTTTCTTGTTGTTATTATTGTTGTTCTTGTTATTGTTATTATTGTTGTTCTTGTTGTTGTTATTATTGTTGTTCTTATTGTTGTTATTCTTCTTATTATTGTTGTTGTTGTTTTTGTTCTTGTTCTTGTTCTTGTTGTAGTTCTTATTTTTGTTCTTGTTGTTTTTGTTGTTCTACTGCTGCATTTTTTATATTATTAAAAGACATACAACAACGGTCGTTTAAAGTAATTATTGTGATAGGTTGAGACATACAACAAAGGTTGTTTAAAGTAACCATTGTGGTAGATAGCATGCTACTTGACTTATAATCACGGTCGCATGACCATGGTAGAAAACATCATACACACAATCACATCTTACCTCACAACGGCTCTTATTTTATACAAATCAGGTTTTGCATTAGAAAACAACGTCAATCCACAAATTGTTAGAACACATGATCAAAATAGTATTACAAAGAAAAATAAGACTTCTCTAAAAAAAGTCCAATATTTGGTGTACTTGTTCAGTAAAAATATCTTTGAAATCAAGAATCAACAAGTGAAATACACCATCCAACAATTTAGTTTGTGTGATCTCTCACTTGATCAAAGCAGTGCATTCGATTTGGAGTAATCAAACATAGAGTTGTCAAATTAAGGGGTTGGGGCCTAAATTTTAAAGCCCTAAAAATGTAAGGGGCAGTGTGGTGGTATCCTTTTTCCAATCGTTGTAACAGGTGTTTTCTGTAGTAGTGTATCAATATCATTTTAAATAGCAACAACAACAACAACAAAAGATTAAAGCTTTAATATTTCAGGTCTCAATAACAACAACAAGATTAATAACTCCAGAGTTTTAGGTCTCAACAACAACAAACAACATCAACAAACAACAGCAATAACAATAACAGTAATAACAATAAAATTTTCTAATAGAAGGTTCCACAAAACATCAGAATTTTTACCAATGGGAAAACAAAAAACACAGTCGCAAAGAGGATATACTGTATCTGCAAATTTGGCGAGTAACATGATAACCGAGTTGTGTTTGCGTAATAGTAGAAGTTGATAAAACAGAGGACATTGGGGGATCAAAGAGAAGTAATTCATGAAGTTGTTTATCGATTTTACGATGAGGAGGTGAGGGCGCTTGATTGACAATTGAAGATGCTTCTTTATAAATTTGGGATCAAAAATTAAAAATACAAAAGACTTACTGAGATAGTGAAGTTGAAGGAGGAGCTTGCCAGGGAGCCTACATAAAATATCTTCGACGAGATCAAAGGGAAGTTTGGGCAATAATAGTGCATGAAGTAAAGGGGATGTTAGGATTTCCAACGTTGTTCCGCTCTATCCCTCCTTAAAAGTAGGTGAATGTAGTTTTCGAAACATGATTTTCTTTCCATTGTACCAAAGTTTCCTAATTCTCAATAATGTATGAAAATAAGGGAGACCATTTATATACAAAACTAGCATAATAATTTACAGTAATAAATTATTTTTTTATTTCTTATTTTAACAAAAATATACAAATTTTATAATTTATATAGCATTTAGTTTTATTATTTTTAAATAAAAAACACCCATAACTTTCAAAATAATAAATAAACTGAATAATTTATATCAACTTATTTTAATAGTCATACATGATCAAATGGTTTGTAGATATTCCTCCACGAGGAAACAAATCTTATCATCCATGTCACATATTCGTTGAGTGTCCAATCTATCGATTTTATAATTGTCTTGTTAATGACAATATTTGATAGTACTAAACGGTAATGATACTATTACCGTAGAAATAACTTATAAAGTATTCACATGGTGGATGTATGGTTACTAATTTACCCACATAATAGTTTTTTCATTATTTTTGTCATATTTGAATATAAAACTTACCTACAAATCCCCCACATTTGATAGCGTCACACTTAATGATGTGAGGCAATTAAGTCATCCTTATGGTTTTGTATTTCAAACCCAATATAAATTGTTCCACCCACACCCATAATTAAGAACAAATATATGGGTATTACACACACGTGGACAAACAAAGACCAAAATTCGAGTCCACTGTTGGATCCTTGTCCCAATCAGCACCCCACCCTTTTTTTCACACTATTTTCTCACTTTAACAGCCCCAGGGTAATAACGTAAATTGGTCAGAAAACTAAGCTTTAGCTTTTGAGACAAATAAGGAAACCGTAACAGCCATCCTTAGATTCTTTTTCTTACCATTTTCATTTCATTTCTTTCTTTTCTATACTTTACTACAATCTTTATTTTATTTTATTATTATTATTTATCTATTTATTAATTTCACAACCAACAACAGTAACACACACGCAAGCACCACTCTCCTCGTATATTTTCTTTTCTTCTGTTGTTGTTTTTCTCAACAAGTAAACAACAAGTCCAAAAACCTCAAATTACATACTTGTCCATTTCAATACTTCATCATCATCATAATCGAATACCCTAAAAGGTTAAACCTGAAAAAACCAACAAAAAGCAACACAAATCACATTTCATCTTTCATTCATCAAATCAAATCAAATGCTCAAACTTTCACTCTCTCGTTATCTCTTTCCTTCTTCACAGGTAATCCTCACTCTCACTCTCTCTATCATCAAGATCAAACTCACCAACATTTGTTTTTTGGTTTTATTGAAATTTAATTATGTATTTTGTAGCTAGTTAGTTGTATGGTTTTGTTGATGGGTCTTAATTTAGATCTGAGTGTAACTGAAATTATGATTTAGTTTAATTGTTCAAGTAATTTAATTTTTTATCAGGTTAATTATGATATACCTATTTTTTAATTCTTGCTTATGATGAAAGAAAGTACTGTGCAATGTGTAATTAATGAATATTGATTTTAATTTCCTATGCTTTATGCTTAGTTTTCTGCAATACAATTGCTTTGTGATGATGCTGAAGTTGAGTAATATGCTAAATTTCTCTGCCTTTGATTTTTCTATTGCAGGGTAGTTTGTGACATTCTGGTTTTCAGGATTATATTTCTTCTAGAATTTCATTTTCATGTCATTTTTCGCTACCAACTGAGATCAGTTTATTGGAAGGTATATCTTTAAGTTATGAATTGTTGTAGTGTGAAATATTGCATAAATTGACTAGATGATCGTTTCGAACTTCCGTGCATATATTGTACAATAGTTATTGTCTTGTGAGATATGAAATCCAGATCTTTGCTCCATATTTAGATCTTTATCTTGAAAAAAGATGGCAGCTGAGTTAGTTAACACTGCAACAAGCGACAAGTTATCTGAAACAGATTGGACAAAAAATATTGAAATATGTGAGTTGGTTGCACGTGATAAAAGGTACGAACGACAAAGCTCTCATCTGCTTGATTGGTTATGTTCCTTTTTGATCTGTCAATGTTGTAAAATGTCGGGAAATACGTTGTTGAGGTCGATTGTATAATAGGATAGTCCTCGTGGTTACTGTTTTTAACCATCATTTATTTTGAATATGAAGGCAAGCTAGAGATGTCGTTAAAGCTATCAAGAAGAAACTCGGCAGCAAACACCCAAACACTCAACTTTATGCTGTCACGGTGGGTATAATGACTTTCTTGTTAAAGCTAGAGATGTTGAACATTACATGCTTGTTTTCTTGTTCCATGAATTTCAAAGTTATTGTCTTTGATCTGTTGATTTTCTAGTTGCTGGAAATGTTGATGAACAATACTGGAGAGCATATTCACGAGCAGGTGATTGATATCGGAATTATTCCTATTCTTGTGAAAATCGTGAAGAAAAAGGTGAGTTTTCTTCTCCTCTGATACTTGTTTAACCTGGCCAGTTTTTACTTTACCTGATTTCTTACTTTCTTAGTTTCTTCATTGCAGTCTGATTTGCCTGTGAGAGAGAGGATATTTCTCCTACTAGATGCCACGCAATCATCCCTTGGTGGTGCTTCTGGAAAATTTCCTCAGTATTATCATGCATATTATGATTTGGTGGTATGTGCAACTACACGACACAAACTCGTAGAATGCTATTATAATATGATCTGTCTTCATTTGATTAGTGGGTCGTAGAATATTTGTTACCAAAAATAGAAGAAAAAGTAGTTGCTCGAGTACACACAAACAAAAGTCATTATACGCATTTGAATGGCAATACTTATGACCTTTGATTTTATACCTTTTACAGAATGCCGGAGTGCAGTTTCCGCAAAGTGCTCAAGGGGTCGAATCAAATCATGCTAGTTCACAACCTAGTAGGACTGGTAGTGTACCAATCAGGGAGCAGGCTTCACCTAAACATGAAGCGGTTGTACCACAAGCAGAGTCCAAGACAGTTCCTGAATCTAGGTGACTCATGTTTTTGAGTTTAGTGTACTTGTAATTGACATGATCTTTAGAAACCCTTTTCTAGCTTACTGTATTTTCATTTTCATCTGCTTGAATATTGCAATTGTGTTTTGCAGCATTATTCAAAAGGCTGGTAATGCATTGGAAGTTTTGAAAGAAGTCCTTGATGCTGTCGATGCTCAACATCCTCAGGTGACTCCTGAGGTTTTAGTTATAGAATCTGTAAACAATTCGATTCTAGCTTTTGCTGAAAAATTTTCTGTTTCTTTCCTAGGGAGCAAGTGATGAATTCACACTTGATCTTGTAGAACAATGTTCATTTCAGAAGCAAAGGGTAATGCATCTTGTGATGGCTTCTCGGTAAGACTGCTTTTACGGTACTCATTGTTTTTCACATGGTTAATTTGTAAATTAAACTGATTTGTTTCCTTTTTTTTATTTGTAGAGATGAAAAGACAGTTTCTCGAGCAATTGAACTAAACGAACAGCTTCAGAAAGTTCTTGCAAGACATGAGGACCTTGTTTCTGGCAGAACTACAACAACTGCTAATGAACAGATTCCAAAAGATCTTCCAAGACACGATAGCGCTGTATCTGGACGAGCTACAACAACTTCTAATGAACAGTTTCCAAAAGTTCTTCCAAGACGCGGTGACTTTGTTTCTAGCAGAGTTACGACAAATGCTAATGAACAACTTCCAAAAGTTCTTCCAAAACGCGATGATGTTGTAACCGGCAGAGCTACAACAACTGTAGCTACTCATTTCGACCTCGAAGAATCAGAGGAGGAAGAAGAAGCTGAACAGTTAGTAAGAAGGTATACCTAATAAAATGATAATACTGTCTTTTGTATGTTAATGCATCTCGCTATAACTAATGCGTTGCAGATTACGCAAAGGAAAGGCTTGTGCAAGACCTGATGACGAAGAAACTGAAGCCGACATCTCTCGTATGCGTATGAATGGGGAGAGACTCAACCATCCTTTAATACGGCCACTGTCCTCAGAACCATCTCGAGAAACTTACAATCCTGCTCCTCCACCAGCTTTAATCCCCCCTCCACGTCCAAAACAGAATGATGAGCTTCCGCTTCCTCACGTGGCGATTCCGCCACCGCCTGCAAAACACATTGAGAGGGAGAAATTTTTTCAGGAAAACAAGGATGCTTCTAATCTATCTGGCCACATGAGAGGCCTCTCTTTCCATAGTCGCAATGGCAGCAGCTCTCGCAGTGGAAGCTTTGATTTTAGAGACTAAGATCTTTAACAGCAAAACCTCTTTTAATTTTTTTTCTTTCTAAATTTCGAGTTGGAATTTGTAAGTTGTGAGAGTTTGTGGTTTCTGTTGTTGTTTTATTGCCTGGAAAAAAGAAGGAAAGACATGTCTTCAGTTCTTGAAATACTTGTAATTATAAAGTTTTCTAAATCATATGATGTGACCTGATGTTTTACGGTTTCAGGTGCTAGTGTGATATATATATATATATATATATATATATATATATATATATATATATATATATATATATATATATATATATATATATATATATATATATATATATATATATATATATATATATATATATATATATATATATATATATATATATATATATATATATATATATATATATATATATATATATATATATATATATATATATATATATATATATATATATATATATATATATATATATATATATAATTTTTCCCAAATTTCTAGTAACTACATATTTTCTTCTTATTCTGAACATTTTTTAAATATTCGGATAACACTATTCAGACGAGTCTAATAAATAACAATGTTAGACATTAATATCAACATGCAAGATGTGTTCGAATAACGCTATCCAGACACATCCCTGAGTCAAGTTAAAAACAATGTTAGTCATTAACATTAACATGCAAAATGTGTCTGAATAGCACTATCCAAATACACCCCTAAGTCAAGTAACATGTTCTATTTACACCAAATACAATTACCATTGGACTGTGAGAACTTTGATTAGGCTTAAGAAGATAATGGCCCATAAATCAATCGGTCCGAGAAGCATTCTCCAGGTGACATCATATTCCTAGGCAGGCGTGACCTGACAAATCATGGGCCTCTCGCTCAGACCCATCATGCCCATGGGGCGGGTCGCCTGTGCTATTTACATATTTATTTATATATAATTAATGGTGACACGTCCAACTATGTGTCTTTGAATGGGTCGATATTTTCCACTTTTTATGGAAGAAATCACTTTCTCCTATTAAGGTGGATAGTTGGTCCTCTGGTTCCTGTTAGTGAGGAAAATCAGTCTCCACGTCCGCTATAGACTAGTTGGGAGAGAACAGAACAGGTTCGTCACCTATCAACCTGGCCCAAAAGCTAGGTCTATAAATATTTCAACCTAAGGGTTGGGAAGAAGGCTTCATTATTCACATATTGAGAGCGTCTAAGTCCTTTTGCGGTTACCATCGTAAGCAGAGTGTCATACACAAGTCACATATTTTTAACACATAAAACGAGATATTGTATATAAACTCAATTTATCATACATAAGTCTCATATTTTAACAAAGTATTCCCAAGACATCCCTAAGACAAATGTCATAAAATACAACTCAAAATGATTACAAAAATGCAAGTGATATATATAAGAGTTTAACTACTAAGTATGTCACACACCCTTATTCCTCATTTGCCTTCTATGCTGAAACGCACTTCATGTCTATGATAATATCTCACCAATAGTGACAATACAACAACATCTGAACAAGACATACACAACATGGTCCTTCCTAATTTAATCCTTCTCTAATATATCTTGATGAATTGGTCTTAGGGGATGTCCATGTGGCACTGGTGTTATATATAGATGGAAAACTCTATAATACCATTGGATGTAACCCTATACCGTACTCCATGGACTAGGAGCTGACACATACGGACATCATATGGTATTAAATGCCTACGATACTCCGCAAATATGTCATTAATATCTATACAATGCACCATGGGAGAGACAGTCAATCTGGGGTCCTAGATACACTCTGAAGATACCTGAACTGCCTTAATACTCGCTCAGGTAGATTTTGGTACTTTAGTTTATACATGCAAGCCATCCATCTGGACTACCAGCGGAACTTCTCAAAAGGATGTGTATAATGGTTCTCACAGTATGGTGTGAAAAATATATTATCCAAATGAATATGGTCAATAGCATATATGTACGAATCAATCATTATATTCCCCCTGTGTGGATTAACAATGCATGCACCAGAAAAACATGTGGAGTTATGTTCTTGTAGGTATAATCAGGAACTGATAAAACCTCATATATAAGTAAGATATTATTATCCTTTATAAGGTCATGGTTTTGATAATGACAACAGTTGAAGTTGTAACAACTCTTGAAATGGTTTTGATGACAACAACACGTAAAGACGAGCAAATACTAAAGTTAGTTCAAATGGTCAAAGATGCACAAAGTGGTTGATCAAACTATTCCTCTGAATCAAATTAAAGAAGTAGATTTTACGATCACATGTGATATCTTTACTTTCTATTGATAATGTCTAACTTGAAGATGTCTCAATCCTCAAGAAGATTCAAGTGAAGTGCTTATATGATTGGTATATCTAGTAAAAGAACTTGAAGCTTTAGAGTTTGAAAGAGAGAAAGTGTGAAAACTCGTTTGATCGTGTTCATCTAAGTGATCAAAATATTATAAAGACACAAGGGATTTTCTAGAAAGTGTTAATGTCTAAATCATATACATACTAAAAACTATTTTTGAAACTCTCTTTTTCAAATAAAATCACCAAAATGTTTTTGGAGTCTAGCCAATTATTTTGGAAACTGTCAAATGGATTAAGATAAATTTTTTGAATTGTCTAATCGAATAGAACAAATGCCTAATCAATTAGATGAGGGTGAATCAAGTTCATAATCGATTATGACAGTGTCTTAATGAATGGTAACGACTCTCCATCAAAACCTTCTGATTTAAACAACAATAATTGATTATTGCAATTACCTAACTGATTAGTTAATCGATTAAGTCATTTATTTTTCCCATTGATTGTTTCCTAATATAAATCATCTCTTGGCCTACAAATAAAGAGTTTCTCCTTCATTTCAAAACATCTAGAAAAACGTGAATATCTCACTTTCCCTTTTTCTTTCAATCTCTGTAAAATATTTTTCTTTCTCTTACATACTTTTAGCCATAGCATTTTAAAAGCGTTATTAAGTTTAGTGAGAAAGTTGTTATTGGTGGGATTACCAAGAGTTCTTATTCCTTTTTATTAAATCATTCTTCCTTAGGAAGTAATTATTTTTGTTTGGAGCTAAACTTGTATAAAAGCTCTTTAAGGGATTAGTGTAACACTCTTCTACCCCACAAGCATTCACGATAATTAAAAATAATTACATCAGAGTATATCACCGCAAGGGTGTCACGTTTCGTCATAAAATCACAATAACATCTTACTCCGTAACACGGGTTTTATTCATCATAATTTCAATCAATTATTATGCAGCAGAAAGATTCAAAATCATCAACACACTTTGTAATTCAAAGAGTTTTAAAAACAAGAACTCATAACTTCATGATGTCAACAACAAAGAACACAACCGTTCGACTCAAACATCCCGACTCGATGTTACATATCAAAACAAGACCCTATACTCGACAGAAATAACCGAAATGTTCCAAGTCATTTCTTCACGCACCAAGAGCTAATCCTGATTACCTGCACGTTACCCACGTGGAGGCAACATTCAAATAAGCATGGTGAGTAATCACAAATCATTATACAAGATATAAAGATAAGATATATTAAGATAACATTCATCATACAAAAACAACATCATCATGAAATTCATGCATCATCATTTGCCTAGTATTATACATCTTCGTTCATAAAGTCATCAAATCAACAACTTATCACCAAAGCATCACTTAAGTCACAACATCATCACACGTCATTTAAAAATTACCTCATCAATAATAACAACCATTCACATAGATGCAATGCCACATAACATGAAATGCAACATATACTCATGCATGTGGTACCAAATCAACATGTTGATGGACATTGGACCATCACCCCCTCCCCAAAGATCCCCACCAATAGGATCGATTCTACACAAGAACTGGAGCACAACATAAACACTCTCAATCCACACAATGGGGTTGAAGCCAACACTGGACGGAAGTCCTACTATGCTATGAATGCATGATGCACTACGTCATAATCAACATCATCACATGATCGTCAAGTTGCATCATCGTTCATGAAAATTCATCAAAACATTATAGTATTATATCATCATTATGCATCACAAGTCTTCATATTTCATCACAAATCAACATGTTATACTCATCAAAATTCAATACATCAACCACTCAAGGCATACGAACAACAAGGCACAAGACAATACAACAAAAGAAAAGAAAAATAAAACTACTACTCATGCTCATCTGGTGCTCACCCGGCGAAGCAACTCGCTCGCCTGGGCTTCGCCCAGCGAAGCAGGGGCGAATCCCCTCCTTCGTACAAAACCCATAAGCACTCATTTTTCACCCTTTTCTCGCTCCCACTTTTTCCTGGCGAGGCTGGGGAGAAATTGCTTCGCCTAGCAAAATGAAAGTTCGCCCGACGAAAATGCGCGAACCTGCAAATTCTCAGTTGCGACTCTGCACCAGTTCAGACCCAAAATGGCTTGCAATTTCAACACAATTCATTTCAAGAATATTCATCAATCACGACGAAATCAACACAGTAACAACAACACATAATAATAAGTTTCATACATATCATCTCATACAACCCAAACCCCAATTTCATCATAAATCCCATCATTCTCCAAAATCTTCAACTACCTACATACATCTACCCTTACATCAATTATAATGACAAATGATACTCTTCATACCTTCGATAATTCGATTCGATTCCTCCTCTTGATTTCTTCCGAAATCCCCCTAAGCCCTAGCTTCCTCTTCTCCTTTTCCTCAGAGCTTTTTCCAACTTTCACGATCGTACAAAAAAATTATTTTCTCCACTTTCTCGTTTTCCTTTATGTCACTCTTACCCCTTGAACCCTTATGATATCCCAACTTTATCCTCACTTATTTCATCCAACTTTACCATCTTGCCCTTAGTGTTCCAATTATTGATTTAAAACAATAACAATAATAAGATATTTATATTATCCACTATTATTATTATCAAAATAATTCTAATAAATCATATA